ACAAAGCTCTTGACCATCACACTAAAGGCGTGATTCACGTGCGACTTCACGCGACTTCGCGTTTTGGGCCCGCCTGGACTCATACGAACTCGAAATCGAGTTCCGGTTTCTCCTATGTGTAGCCAACGAACCCATCTACACAACCATGGTTTTTCCGGACTAAATCTATTCCTCATGGGGCCTCCGACCTGCACACAAAAAACAAGAAGAAAATGAGAAAAACACACGAAAAACACAAAGGAAACCAAAATAAAGGAAAACACACCATAATCAACAAAATGAACTACAAACCAACAAAAACACCTAAAATGGGGGGAAAAGAATGACAAAACAACAACGAAAAAAGCAACAAAAATGGGACAAACAGTTGGGGTGGCTCCAATTGAGGAGAAATTGGTTCAACATCGGCTGAGGTGGTTCGGACATGTCCAACGGAGGCCTCCTGATGCACCGGTGCGTAGGAGAGTTCTTCAGCGGGCCGATGTTGTTAAGAGAGGTAGAGGTCGGCCTAAACTCACTTGGGAAGAATCGGTTCAGAGAGATCTTAAAAATTGGAATATCTCCAAGGATTTAGCGGTAGATAGGAGTGCTTGGAGGCTAGCGATCAACGTGCCGGAACCGTGACTTTTGCTCCTTTCTCGTTTGCTCCAATCTCTTCCTTTTTTTTTTACCACTGTTTCTATTGGGTTACATCTCTTGCCTACCCCAACGTGTTTGGGACTAAAAGGCTTTGTTGTTGTTGTTGTACATCTTAATTCTTAACACTATGAATTTACAAAATAATTTTTTATGTGAGACGGTTGAATCTGTCATGATTTTTAATGAAAAATTATATTATATATTGCTATTAGTGAGCATCTCGTGAGATGCATTGGCGAGCTTGTTATTTAAAATTTTTTTAATTTTATTTTAAACATTCATATTAATAAAAATAATATATTAACACATATATTTCTTTTTTAATATAAAAATAATAATTTTATTTGTCATGATACTCAATTATTATTTTATTCTAAAATTTATTGATATATAATGTTATTATTATTACTTATAATACTTATAAAAGTAGTATTTATATATATAATGATAAATATTTAGTTTACATTAATATCATTTATTGACATAATTATATTAAAAAATATATAAATAAAAATAAATATTGAACCATAAATGCATTCTATTCAATTTTTTAAATTTATCCTATTTCATAATAATTAATATATATATATATGATTCTATTAGAGTATTAAATATATTAAGCCTAATGTGGAACATTTCAATAATAAAATGCGATAATATTCTATTATAAAGTACTTGCTTTTATTCACAATCATATTATGTTATGTGAAAAATAAGATTTTTTAATTAAGGATATTGATTTCCAATTGAACAAAAATAATATAGTGTAATTATCAAATTAGAACATCAATTCTAAATTTGTCTATTTAATTGATAGGAATTCTCTTGTTGTTAACATCATATAAATCACTTAAAACTCCATAGTCGTATTAGAACCACTAACCACTATAATTTAATTAAATTTATGAGCCAAGCCATTCATTTTCGTTCGTAAAAATCACTATATAATCACTTAAATTAGATAGGCAAACTAAGAACTCTTATTTATTTTTCATTTTATTTTTTTCCGGGGATACGTGATCTTATTTTGAAATATTGGCACACATTTGATAGGTGAGCAAGTCAGGTTAAATGTATTCAAATATGGACAAAACAATTTTCCAAACTTGATTTACACAAATTTTCAAACTTATTATCTTAGTTTAGTTTATTTGGTCAGATTATACGTATTGACTTTTTTTCTTAAAATTCAAAAAACTTGTCAAAGTCAGTATAAATAAATTTTTTTAAAAAAATGTAACCAATAATAGTAAAACCGAAACTTTATGGGCAGGAATTTTCATGCTATATTTATATATTTTTTTTATTGCTATTATATAATAATAGATAGATTATCTTTTATAACTTCACTTATTTTATTTTCTAAAGTATGATATTTTAACTTAAAAATATATAGTTAGATCAACAATATTTTTTTT